ATACCACAGCTTATTCGCCTTCCAAGTTTTGGTAATTATGAATGAAGCTGCTCCAAACATCTGTGTGCAGACTTTTGCATGGACATAAGTTTTCAATTCTTTGGGTAAATACCCAGTAGCATAATTGGTGGATTGTATGGTATGAATATATTTAGTTCTATAAGAAGCCACCAGACTGTCTTTAAAAGTGCCTGTACTATTTTGCATATCCATCAGGAATGAATGAGAGTTCTTGTTGCTGTTCCTGTTGGTGTTGACAGGGAAGACAGTGGATTTTAGCCATCTCAAAAGATGTGTAATAGGATCTCATTGTTGCTTTAGTAATCTATTTTTTTGAATTTTAGGATACATGTGCAGAATGTGCAGGTTTGCTACATAGGTATACATGTGCCATAGTGGTTTGCTGCACCCATCACCCCATCATCTACATTAGGCATTTTTCCTAATGCTATCCCTCCCTTTGCCTCCCAACCTCCGACAGGCAAAAGAAGCTATCATCAGAGTGAAAAGGCAATTCACTCGGTGCATGATGTTCCCCTCCCTGTGCCCATATGTTCTCATTGTTCAACTCCCACTTATGAGTGAGAACGTGCGGTATTTTGTTTTCTGTTCCTGTGTTAGTTTGCCAAGAATGATGGTTTCCGGCTTCATCCATGTCCCTGCAAAGGACATGAACTCATCCTTTTTTATGCTGCATAGTATTCCATGTGTATATGTGCCACACTTTCTTTATCCAGTCCAACACTGATGGGCATTTGTGTTGGTTCCAAGTCTTTGCTATTGTGAATAGTGCTGCAATAAACATATATGTACATGTGTCTTTATAGTAGAATAATTTATAATCCTTTGGGTGTATACCCCGTAATGGGATTGCTGGGTCAAATGATATTTCTAGCTCTTGATCCCTGAAAAATCGCCACACTGTCTTCCACAATGGTTGAACTAATTTACACTCCCACCAACAGTGTAAAAGAGTTCCTATTTCTCCACATCCTCTCCAACATCTGTTGTTTCCTGACTTTTTAATAATCACTATTCTAACTGGCATGAGATGGTATCTCACTGTGGTTTTGATTTGCATTTCTCTAATGTCCAGTGATAATGGCTTTTTTTTCATATGTTTGTTGGCTGCATAAATTTATTCTTTTGAAAAGTGTCTCTTCATATCCTTCACCCACATTTTGATGGGGTTTTTTGTTGTTGTTGTAAATTTTTTTAAGTTCTTGTGGATTCCGGATATTAGCCCTTTGTCAGATGGATAGATTGCAAAAATTTTCTCTCATTCTGCAAATTGCCTTTTCACTCTGATGATAGTTTCTTCTGCTGTGCAGAAGCTCTTTGGCTTAATTAGATCCCAGTTGTCTATTTTGGCTTTTGTTGCCATTGCTTTTGGCATTTTAGTCATGAAGTCTTTGCCCATGCCTATGTCCTGAATGGTATTGCCTAGGCTTTCTTATAGAATTTTTACAGTTTTAGGTCTTACGTTTAAATCTTTAACCCATCTTGAGTTAACTTTTGTATAAGCTGTAAGGAAGGGGTCCAGTTTCCGTTTTCTGCATTTGGCTAGCCAGTTTTCTCAACACCATTTATTGAACAGGGAATCCTTTCCCCATTGCTCGTTTTTATCAGGTTTGTCAAAGATCAGATGGTTGTAGATGTGTGGTGTTATTTCTGAGGCCTCTGTTCTGTTCCATTGGTCTATATATTTGTTTTGGTGCCAGTACCATGCTGTTTTGGTTACTGTAGCAACTTCAGTACTACAGTACAGTTTGAAGTCAGGTAGCATGATGCCTCCAGTTTTGTTCTTTTAGCTTAGGATTGTCTTGGCTATACAGGCTCCCTTTTGTTTGCATATGAAGTTTAAAGTAGTTTTTTCTAATTCTGGGAAGAAAGTCAATAGTAGCTTGATGGGAATAGCATGGAATCTATAAATTACTTTGGGCAGGATGGCCACTTTGATGATATTGATTCTTCCTAACCATGAGCTTGGAATATTTTTCTATCTGTTTGTGTCCTCTCTTATTTCCTAGAACAGTGGTTTGTAGTTCTCCTTGAAGAGGTTCTTCACATCCTTGTAAGTTGTATTCCTAGGCATTTTATTCTTTTTGTAGCAATTGTGAATGGGAGTTTGCTCATGATTTGGCTCTCTGCTTATGATTGGTGTATAGGAATGCTTGTGATTTTTGCACATTGATTTTGTATCCTGAGACTTTGCTGAAGTTGCTTATCAGCTTAAGGAGTTTTTGAACTGAGATGATGAGGTTTTCTAAACATACAATCATGTCATCTGCAAACAGAGATAATTTGACTTCCTCTCTTCCTATTTGAATATCCTTTATGGTTTTCTCTTGCCTGCTTCCCCTGGCCAGAACTTCCAATACTATGTTGAATACAAGTGGTGAGAGAGGGCATTCTTGTGTCAGTTTTCAAAGGGAATGCTTCCAGCTTTTGCCCATTCAGTATGATATTGGCTGGCAGTTTGCCATAAATAGCTCTTATTATTTTGAGATATGTTCTATCAATTCCTAGTGTATTGAGTATTTTTAGCATGAAGGGGTGTTGAATTTTAACAAGGGCCTTTTCTGCATCTATTGAAATAATCATGTGGTTTTTGTCATTGGTTCTGTTTATGTGATGAATTATGTTTATTGATTTGTGTATGTTGAACCAGCCTTGCATTCCAGGGATGAAGCTGACTTGATCGTGGTGGATAAGCTTTTTGATGTGCTGCTGTTTCAGCTTGCCTGTAGTTTATTGAGGATTTTTGCATGACTGTTCATCAGGAATATTGGCCTGAAATTTTCTTTTTTTGTTGTGTCTCTGGCAGGTTTTGGTATCAGGATGATGCTGGCCTCATAAAACGAGTTAGGGAGGAATCTCTCTTTTTCTAATGTTTGGAATAGTTTCAGAAAAAATGGTACCAGCTCCTCCTTGTACCTCTGGTAGAATATGGTTTTGAATCCGTCTGGTTCTGGGCTTTTTTTGGATAGCAGGCTATTAATTACTGCCTAAATTTCAAAACTTGTTATTGGTCTATTCAGGGATTTGACTTCTTCCTTGCTTAGTCTTGGGAGGTATGTGTATCTAGGAATTTATCCATTTCTTCTAGATTTTCTGATTTATTTGTGTAGAGGTGTTTATAGTATTCTCTGATGGTAGTTTGTATTTCTGTGGGATAAGTGGTGATCTCCCCTTTATCATTTTTTATTGTGTCTATTTGATTCTTCTCTCTTTTCTTCTTTATTAGTCTAGCTAATGGTCTATTTTGTTAATCTTTTCAAAAAATCAGCTACTGGATTCACTGATTTTTTGAAGGGTTTTTGTGCCTCTATGTCCTTCGGTTCTGCTCTTAGTTATTTCTTGTCTTCTGCTAGCTTTTGAATTTGTTTGCTCTTGCTTCTCTAGTTCTTTTAATTGTGATGTTAGGGTATAAAGTTTAGATATTTTCTGCATTCTCCTGTGGACATTTAGTGCTATAAATTTTCCTTTAAACACTGATTTAGCTGTGTTCCAGAGATTCTGGTACATTGTTTCTTTGTTCTCATTGGTTTCAAATAATTTCTTTATTTCTGCCTTAATTTCTTTATTTACCCAGTAGTCATTCAGGAGCAGGTTGGTCAGTTTCCATGAAGTTGTGTTGTTTTGAGTGAGTTTCTTAATCCTAAGTTCTAATTTGATTGTCCTGTGGTCTGAAAGACTGTTTGTTATGATTTCCATTCTTCTGCATTTTTTGAGGAGCATTTTATTTCCAGTTATGTAGTCAATTTTAGAATAAGTGCAATGTGGCGCTGAGAAGAATGTATATTCTGTTGATTTGGGGTGGAGTGTTCTGTGGATGTCTATTAGGTCTGCTTGGTCCAGAGCTGAGTTTAACTCCTAAATATCCTTGTTAATTTTCTGTCTCATCAATCTGCATAATATTGACAGTGGAGTGTTAAAGTCTCCCACTATTATTGTGTGGGAATCTAAATCTCTTTGTAGGTCCCTAAGAACTTGCTTTATGAATCTGGGCACTCCTGTATAGGGTGCATATATATTTAGGATAGTTAGCTTTTCTTGTTGCATTGATCCCTTTACCAAGATGTAATGCCTTTCTTCATCTCTTTTGTTGGTTTGTTTGTTGGTTTGTTGGTTTAAAGTCTGTTTTATCAGAGACTAGGATTGTGACCCCTGCTATTTTTGGTTTCCATTTGCTTGGTAAATATTCCTCCATTCCTTTATTTTGAGCCTATGTGTGCCTTTGCACATGAGATAGGTATCCTGAATGTAGCACATGGATGGGTCTTTACTCTTTGTCCAATTTGCCAGTCTGTGCCTTTTAATTGGGGAATTTGGCCCATCTACATTTAAGATTAATATTGTTATGTGTGAATTTGATCCTGTTATGATGCTAGCTGGTTATTTTGCTCATTAGTTGAGGCAGTTTTCTTATAGTGTCGATGGACATTTTCATTTGTTTTTGCACTGGCTGGTACTGGTTTTTCCTTTCCATATTTAATGCTTCTTTCAGGAGCTCTTGTAAGGAAGGCTGGTGGTGACAAAATCCCTCACTATTTGCTTGTTTGTAAAGGATTTTATTTCTCCTTTACTTATAAAGCTTAGTTTGGCTGGATATGAAATTCTGTGTTGAAAATTCTTTTCTTTAAGAATGTTGAATATTTAAACACTATAAGCCATTCTCTTCTGGCTTGCAGGGTTTCTGCAGAGAAATCCACTGTTTGTTTGATGGGCTTCCCTTTGTGGGTAACCCGACCTTTCTGTCTGGCTGTCCTTAACATTTTTTCCTTCATTTCAACCTTGGTGAATCTGATGATTATGTGTCTTGGGGTTGCTCTTCTCAAGGAGTATCTTTGTGGTGTTCCCTGTATTTCCTGAATTTGAATCTTGACCTGTCTTGCTACATTGGGGAAGTTCTGCATAATAACCAGAAGTATGTTTTCCAACTTGGTTCCATTCTCCCCATCACTTTCAGGTACACCAATCAAACGTAGGTTTGGTCTTTTTACATAGTCCCATATTTTTTGGAGGCTTTGTTCATTCTTTTTTATTCTTTTTTCTCTAATCTTGTCTTCACACTCTATTTCATTAAGCTGATTTTCAGTCTCTGATCTCCTTTCTTCTGTTTCATTGATTTGGCTATTGATACTTGTGTGTGCTTCACAAAGTTCTCGTGCTGTGTTTTTCAGCTCCATCAGGTCATTTATGTTCTTCTCTAAACTGGTTATTCTAGTTAGCAATTCCTCTAACCTTTAATCAAAGTTCTTCGCTTCCTTGCATTGGGTTAGAGCATGCTCCTTTAACTCCGAGGAGTTAGTTATTACCCACCTTCTGAAGCCTGCTTCTGTCAATTCATCAAACTCATTCTCCTTCCAGTTTTGTTCCCTTGCTGGTGACAAGTTGTATCCTTTGGATGTTAAGAGGCATTCTGGTTTTTGGCATTTTCAGCCTTTTTTGCGCTGGTTTTTCCTCATCTTCATGGATTTATCTACCTTTGGTCTTTGCTGTTGGTGACCTTTGAATGAGTTTTTGCTTGGTCATCCTTTTTTTGATGTTAATGCTATTCCTTTCTGTTTGTTAGTTTTTCTTCTAACAGTCAGACCCCTCTTCTGTAGGTCTGCTGGAGTTTGCTGGGGGTCCACTCCAGACCCTGTTTGCCTGGGTATCAACAGTGGAGGCTTCAGAACAGCAAAGATTGCTGCCTGCTCCTTCCTCTGGAAGCTTCATCCTAGAAGGGCACCTGCCAGATGCCAGCCAGAGCTCTCCTGTATGAGGTGTCTGTTGACCCCTGCTGGGAGGTGTCTCCCCAATAGGAGGCTTAGGGATCAGGAACCCACTTGAGGTTGCAGTCTGTTGCTTAGCAGAGCTCCAGAACTGTGCTGGCCCCTCCGGTGTTCTGTCCCAGGGAAATGAGAGTTTTATCTATAGGCCTCTGACTGGAGCTGCTGCCTTTCTTTCAGAGATGACCTTCCCAGAGAGGAGGAATCTAGAGAGGCAGTGTGGCTACCATGGCTTTAGGGTGCTGTGGTGGGCTCCTCCCAGTCTAAACTTCCCATGTGGCTTTGTGGCTTGAGTATTCCAGGTCAACTTCAGACTGTTGTGCTGGCAGTGAGAATTTCAAGTCAGTGGATCTTAGCTTGCTGGGCTCCGTGGGGCTGGGTTCCGCTGAGCTAGACCACTTGGCTCCCTGGCTTTAGCCCCATTTCCAGGGAAGCAAACAGTTCTGTCTTACTGGCATTCCAGGTGCCACTGGGGTATGAAAAAAAAAAACCTCCTGCAGCTATTAACTTGGTGTCTGCCAAACAGTCGCCCAGCTTTGTGCTTGAAACTCAGGGCCCTGGTGGTGTTGGCACCTGAGGGAATCTCCTGGTCTGTGGGTTGCGAAGACCATGGGAAAAGCATAGTGTCTGGGCTGGAGTGCACTGTTCCTCACTGCACAGTCCATCAGGCTTCCCTTGGCTAGGGGAGGGAGGTCCCGACCCTGGGCTAGGCAATGCCCCACCCTGCTTCATCTCGCCTTCCGTGTGCTGCACCCACTGTCTGATCAGTCCCAATTAGATGAACTGGTTACCTCAGCTGGAAATGCAGAAATCACCTGCCTTCTGTGTTGGTCTTGCTGGGAGCTGCAGACTGGAGCTGTTCCTATTTGAAGCAGGAAAGGCCACAAACAAACTTCTCACACACTGGGAAGGAAGTGGTGATTTATTTGACCAGGAGCTGCAGCAGCATAGATGCCTAACAAGTGAGATCCCCAACAAAGGAAATCCTTGTCCTTTTAAAGGCTTACAACTCTAGAAATTACATGTGAAAGGGTCTTGATCTATGAAGTAGGCTTGCGTTATGTGACTTAGGTGGGGGCTTGATCCTGTTAAATTAAAACCAATGCCTTCCGGAAAGATTCGTCTGTACCATGCCTGCGATCTACAGGAATGTGATTAAGGGTGGAGCCCGCATCTGCCAGCCTTTACTTCTCTTATTGAAATGCAATGTAGAAGTCTAGGGGGAAGGGCTCTTAGAAGTTAAAGAGGATTGAGGGTCTCTTTCCTCACTGTTCAGCCATCTTGCTGGGGAATTTTTTTCTTTTTTGTGACAGAGTCTTGCTCTGTCACCCAAGTTGGAGTGCACTGGTGTAACCTAGGCTCATTGCAACCTCTGACCCCTGGGTTCAAGCGATTCTCATGTCTCAGCCTCCCCAGTAACTGGGAATACAGGCTCCCTAGTAGCAGGGAATACCATAGCCGGCTAATTTTTGTATTTTTAGTAGAGACGGGGTTTTGCTATGTTGGCCAAGATGGTCTCGAGCTCCTAACCTCAAGTGATCCACCTGCCTCAGCCTCCCAAAGTTGCTGGGATTAGAGGAATGAGCCCCCGTGCCCAGCCTATCTTATTTTACATACATGAGCACTCTCCAAAATGTGAGTACATTTTTTTACTTTCACTTTGCAACTTGATTTTCTCCAATAAACTCCTTTGAGATATGTTCCAATGAACCAAAGCCAGCCTGTATTATATTTATTCCCAGGGTGAAGAGAATAATTCCCCAATCACCTAAGTCGCCCTCCAACAATGTCTTCATGAACACCTCCCTTGAACTAAATGTCTTATGTAAGTAATGCACCGTAAAGTGAGCTATGACACTGAAACCCCATCTACTCACGAGAAGGATCAATAATTAAAAGTCAGGTCCTTCTACTTGAGGATTATCACACTACATGAGATAAGCAAGACACAAAAGGACAAATATGCGTGATTCTCCTGTCCTCTCTTAAATACACAACCTTCAGGCTTTCACTGTCACCATTCAACTGACACCAGTCACTGTGACCTTCATGTTGCTAAAATCTACTGGTCCCTTCTTGCTCCTCATCCCAATTGATCCACCAGCAGCAGGTGGCATTGTAGGTGGCTCTCTTCCCCTTGGGACATTTCTTTACCTGGTGTTCAGGGTCCCACACTCTGAGTTTCCTCCTACCTCACAGGTCACTACTTCACTTTTCCAACTCCCTAGAGACATTTAGAAAGAAATGGCTTCATGGTAACAGAAAGTGAAAAATGAACCGACGGGAACACATCAGGCAGAGCACGTATCTTAGGGATTTAGGTTACATCTCTCCCATCCTCATTCCCAACTGTGACCTCAATTTCTACTTCCCTGAGAAAGCGGAACAAGAAATGACCTTCCCTGGGCTCTCATCACACCTCTCCTTCCAGCAATGCCCACCCACACGCTCTGCTTTCCCACGGCTCTGCTGTCCGCACCTGTCTAAAGCCCATCTAATTTGCACCATCGAATTCTACTGTTGCTTACTTGAGAACACCACTCCAGCAATTCTCCCCTATTTCCTACGTCACCCATTTTCCACGTTCTGCGGGATCATTCTCACCAGCACACACAACAGGCCGTCCTAAAAGGTGGAACTTTCTCTTGACCACACGTTACCCATTGCCTTTCACTTCGTGTCATTACATTCTCTTGCAGCAGCAGCTCTTGATAAAAGCGTCTGTATCCATCGCCTCCAGCTCCTCTTCTCCCGGCCTCTTTTAAATCCACTGCATTCAGGCTTTCACTGTCACCATTCCACCGACACCGGTCACCGTGACCTTCATGTTGCTAAAATCTACTGGTCCCTTCTTGCTTCTCATCTCAATTGATCCACCAGCAGCAGGTGGCATTGTAGGTGGCTTCCTTCCCCTTGGGACATTTCGTTACCTGGTGTCCAGGGTCCCACACTCTGAGTTTCTTCCTACCTCACAGGTCACTCCTTTTTTTTTATTTTCACTGACTTTCTCCTTTTCTCCCTAATCTCTTAATATGTAAGTGTCCCATGGATCCATTCGATTTTTCTTTCCTCTGTCTATACTCACTCCACTGATAATCTCATTTAGTCTCAAGGTTTTAAGTATCAACTCTACGTTGATAACCCCCAAGTTTGTATGTGCAGCCCACCCACATTTTTCTCTCAAATTCCAAATTCAAACACCTACCCATTCAGTATCCCCTTTTGGTTGTCTGATAGATATTTTAGACTTCCCATGTCCAGAACCAAACGCCAGGTTTCCTCTTCCACCAAGCCGGCACCATCCACAGCCTTGTCCCTCTCAGTTGATGACAACTCCGTATTTCCAGCTGCTCAGGCCAAAATCCTTGAGTCGCACATTAGGCCATCGCATTGGCTCTGCCAGGACATCGTGTTCAGAGCCCGACTGCTTCTTACTCACTTCCCTCTGGTCTGAACCACCATCATCTCTGTCTGCACTACGACAGCCTCCTTACAAGTCTTCCTGCTTCCTCCCCAGCTCCATGCCTCACCAAAGTAATCCATTTTTATTATATCAGAGCAAGCACATCAGTTTTTGGCTCAAAACCCTGCTATCCAGTGGCTCTCCATCACACTCAAAGCAAAGCCTCAGTCCTTACAATGGCCAGCGAGGACTTGCTTGATCTGGGTTCCATGACCTCCCTGGTGTCAGCTCCTAGTCTCCTTGCTCTTCCCTCATTCCCCTCCAGCCTCTGCTTTTCTCGTAATGCAGCAGGAATGCTAGAGCCTTTGCACTGGATCTACCCTCTGCCTAGAGTGCTTATCTCTCGTGTGTTGGTTTGGCTCACCTCTTCACTTCCTTTACATCTTTTCCTAACACCTTTTCAGTGTAGCCCACCCTCGCTGCTCTAATGCTACACAACCCTCACCCTCTGTCTCCAGTTTATGTTTTCTTTCCTTTGTAGCTCTTTAGTATGCCTTTGGGTACCATGTGATTAGTTTTTATTGTGCCCTTGCTTATAATCCGTCTTAATTGCCATAATGTAAGCTCCATGACAGCATTTTTTGTTTTCTCCACTGATTTATTCTGAGCATGTAGAAGAATGCCCAGTACATAGTACGCACTCAACAAAAATTTTGTGGGATGAATGAACTAATTTATAAGTTACCACTCCATGCTGAATTATACATACTAACAGAGACCCATTCCTTCTTCCGTCTCTCCAATGTAAACCATAAATATGGGCAAAATGGAATAGATACTTATTGAGGACATACTGTGAGCTCAGCCCTCTGTTAAACATTTGAGCTCCTTTATTACGCTAGATCTTTAGAGACGCCATGTGCAGATAGTGAATAGATCCTTGTTCAATGAAAGAATAGCTCAATGGATCTTCATTTACAAAGGAGGAAATGGTGGCCCAGCAAGGTTAAGTCAGTTGCCTTTGATTCTATTGCTTCTAAGTGGTGGGGTCCAGACTGGAATTTCACTCTGCCTCACTCCAAAGTGTTACATTGCTAAGTTCCAGAGTAGAGACATGGAAATTAGATAGATGGACATCCCAGTTCTGCCACTTAACCAGCTATGGGGCATTAGGCAAGTTAGTTATTGTCTCTGAGCTTCAGTCTCTTCGACTCTTTTAGGATTTCCTGCTGTTGGCATTACTATAAGCAATGTGCAGTGTAAAAGGCCGTATGCATCTGGATTCAAACAGAGGACTAAGTGCTTTTTGCAAGAACCATACCATCCTAAAACCAATATAACATGGAGAGTGCGAATGACCTCAAAATAGCATTGAATCCATATGATAAATACAAAAAATAGATTTCAATTACTTTTTAAAAAGTTATTCATTGTGTAGGAAGAAATTCTTTTCATGACTTACTATTTTTTAATATTATGATAGGAAATACTATTGGATGGTTAGATATCATATTGAATCAAAGAGGTCCTAAGGTGTTTTTTCTCTTCACATTCTTTCTTGTTGCTTGAGACGAAGACCCTCAGCCAGTTCATAGCTTTTTAGATCCTGTAAGTTTTTCTGCTGTATACCACGATATTAACTTTAATTTGTAAAGCATTCTAGGCAATTCAGATAAGAAACAAAAGGGGAAAATTCTCTGTTAATTTCAAGATGGCAGCTCTTTCTCATATTCTTGGCTGTGACTGAGTATTGAGGAGGCAGATGGGCTAGGAAGCCAGCCAGGGGAGTTCACAGTTAGTTGGGTCCGTGGAGGGCTCCCTCCAGGATCCCTGATCAGGACTCTCTGCCTGTCAGGACTTCCTGAAAGACGAATGAAAGCGGGGGAGGCAAAGAGCTGGAGGCTTCCTCTGAGCTCCCCGTGGGATGCAAATGGCAGTTAAAGGTTCAGAGAGCAGAGCTGGGAGCATGTCTGCATCCTCATCAGGTGCGGTGGAGGCTGGTGGCCTGGGTTTCTGTTCTCCCGCTTAACTTCAGCTCTCACTCTTCTTCCCTGGGAGACTGTGAAAAGGAAAAACAGCTCAGGTTTCCAAATGATATATATATTGCCTCTGAATACACATCAGAACCAGGTTTATGAGGCCAAAACTTTACATAGTTGGAAGCCCCTCTTTAGGAAAAGAATCCCAAATAACAAATGCAAAATTAGGTTCAAAAGCAAATATTTATGAGAATGAGAAAGAAATCATCATATATCACTAATGTGTAGAAGCTGACGTATTCCAAAACATCCCCAGAGCCTTGGATGCGGCCACGCAGCTGAAACAATGAGCTCCGGGAAGTCCTCTGTGCGCATGCGTCTTGATGGGCACGGAGGAGAAACATTCCTTCTAGGCCAAATCTGCCCGTCCTGCTCCCTGCAGGTATTAAGTCAAGAATGAAAAGCAGGGAAATGGGCCTGGCAAAACCAGAACTTGTTTTTTCCCTTTGGGGAAGAGACTATTTAAAATGTGAATACAACTTTCATTAAGAGAGAGTGGGAATATTTTTTATCGGCTTATTTTTATAGTCCTAAATGTTTTTATGATTAGAACATTAAAAATAAAATAGAAGGGAGCAGGCAGGTGGCTATCATCCCAGCACTTTTGGAGGCTGAGGCAGGTGGATCACTTGAGGTCAGGAGTTCAAGACCAGCCTGGCCAGCATGGCAAAACCTGTCTCTACTAAAAATGCAAAATTCAGCCAGTGCGGTGGTGCACGCTTGTAATTCCAGCTACTCGGGAGGCTCAGGCAGGACAATGGCTTGAACCTGGGAGGTGGAGGTTGCAGCGAGCCGAGATTGTGTCACTGCACTCCAGTTTGGGCAACAGAATGAGATTCTGTCTTAAAAAAAAGGAATTAATGAATTAACTAAATTAAACTAAATTAAATTAAATATAAGGACAGGCATTTTCCCACTGTGGTTGTATGTGTAGCTGTCTTAGCGTGGGCCTAGCCTCATCAGGGGAGCTCAGGACACCTTCCCCAGGGATTTCTAGCCACACCCAGGCACTGTGCCGTCCTCTCCCCCCCAGGTAATCCCCTCTCCCCAGGGAGATTCCCTCCTTCTTCCTTGTGCTGCCTGAAACCACTCGTCATTCATCCATGCTATTCCAGGAAACACCTGAGTGTTTTTATAAAATCTAAAGTTCCACCTTGAGATTCTAAGTGAAATTTTCCTGAAGTGGGAAGGAAGGAGGAAACGAAGGAAAAGAGAAGGGAAGAAATCCCAAACGGTTGGAAAATACTGATATTTTCCATCCAGAGACTGTGACGACCTTGACCTAAAACAGTGGCTCTCCATGCACAGTCCTAGGCAGCAGCAGATGTGTTGCCTGAAAAGCGTCCCAATCCAAGCCCCGAGAGAGGGTTCCTGGCTCTGGTGCAAGAAGGAATTAGGGGTGAATCCGTAAAGTGAAAGCAAGGTTATTAGCAAAGTAAGGAATAAGGAATGACTACTCCACAGGCAGAGCAGCAGCATGGGCTACTTGATTAAGGATACTTATGGTTATTTCCTGATTATATGCTAATCAAG